AGTGGTGCTGAGGGGAGAGCACAGTGGATGGACCTGCAGTTGGTGGCGGGCAGGAGACTCGCTTATTAAAGAGTCTTCAATCTGGGGCGTGTTGTGTGGAGATAAACACTGGATACAGGAATCTGGAGGCCACGGGGCTCTTGTGGTCCAAGAAGCTGAGTATCATTGGTATAGAAGTAACATTTACACCACACAAGAGGAAGGGGTCAGAAACCTCACTGGTAGCAGAGACAGGGAGATAATTCGAGAATATAATCTTTATATCTCTTTATATATAGATATAATCTATATATCTCCTGGCCTCGCTGGGAAGATGTGGCATTGGTGAGTATCTGGCTGCAGTCTAAGTGGGAAGAGACTCAACTAATCAGAGATGAGCCTTTATTCTAAAACCTGCTGGTGGCAATAATTACATCCTGTTTTGTATATTTCCTTTTGGGTGTTTCTCTTTAAATTATACATTGTACTGCATATAATCAGATGCACAGATGATAGATGACAAATTGCCAAATAATTGAAAATTAAGATAAAATTATTGGTATTATTTAAAGAATGTAGCTGTATATTGAAGGCATAGCTGGCTGCATAGATGGAAGAATGAGTAGGTGGGTGAGCAGACAGGCTGATGGGAGGTTGTATAAACAGATAGATGGGTCGACGGATGGACAGGCCAGGTGGGTGGGTGAAAGGATGAATGGATGGGTGGGTGAGTGGATAGATGAATAGACAGAGAGATTAAAGAGACAGATTTTCAAACACTGTTTTATATTTGAAATATAGTAATTAAGAATGTACTCCAGAAATATTTTGTGCTTATTAGAGCCCAATATGCTCTAAACTATACACAGAGGAAAACCCTGATTTTTCTTCTCTTTCCTGACAAACGAAGTCAAAGAATCATTCATGAGTCTTGAGGAGTTGGGATGGGCTAGGTCATATGATTGGCCACAACTATCTTCATATCTATCACATCTAAATTTCAAGATCCACAATCTGCTGGAAGTTCAAATACTTAATTCCTAAATGAAGGAATCCCACATAGATGGCACCTTCCCCTTCCCCTGGGGCCTGATTCATTCAGGTGAGAGTGGGAAGGTGTTGGTTCAGGATAGACTCATTTGGGAGAATTGTCCACAGTGTAAGATCATCCACAAGCAATGCTATTTATGAATATCTCCAATTATTTGCTTACAAACAGTCCTACCACAAGAGTCCTTCCTCTTTAAGGAGGGAGGTTTAAACATTAAGACAAGATTAGGAAAGTATTGAAAAGCCACCCTCAAAAGGATGGTACTTCCATTTTCTTGAATGTCCTCACCTAACCAAGACATGAAGTAGCTGGCAGGTTCCATTAGCAGAACTCAGCCCTGCTAAGGTCATTAAACCCAGCATGAAGTTTTGGTTTCACTCCTGATGGTCTGACCCTCCTGCTTGGACCTTCCTGCCTCCAACCCCCACCGTCAGCCCAGAAGTGAGAAAAATTCTTCTTCAGGTTGCTGGTGGGCCTGGGATTGACAGCTCGGCCAACTTTGCAGAAAACCACAGTTTGGAGTGGAAATCACTTTTGGTTTCTGGCTCCTCAGCACTCCTACACATCTAATTAGCTCAACAATTGGTCCCTGTGATAAAATCAGCTAATTTCATGTTCAAATGGCTGCTTTGTGGTAAGCAGCGCAGTCACTCCAACGCCACATATAAAGAAGTTGCTGAAGAAGCCGGATCCTGCAGGTCACCAGGGGACAAACTAGCAGAGACTATCAAATTAGTAACCTCAGTCAACATTATAGTTAGTACATGAGGGTCCTTGCAGACCCAGAGAAGATCAATGGCCAGGGCGAAAAGCCTGTAATGGCGACCTCTGAAGGGGAAAAGAGGATGTGTGGAATGTAGGGAAGGAATATATGCTCTTAAAATAAGCCTGGATGTTTGGGCCAGGATTATGGAGGGCACGAGTCTAGCTGGTATTGTGAAGGAATTATGCCCTTAAGAGTAAATGTCTTTATTGTTTCAGAAATTATCCAAGGTCAGCCTTGGCATAGAGCACAGGCAAGGCCATCAAGACTGCTCTCTGGCCAGCTGAGGAGACAAAAGCAGGATCTAGGACCAACCTTGATGGTGTAAGGCCCTTTGGAAGCCAGAATACTTTTAAGGTAAATATAAAAGAAAAGATGGATTCTTTGAGTAAAATCCAAGTGTGTCACCTTTCATAGACAAATCATTGACTTCTTTGGAGGTGGGTTATAGAGATTATCAGTTAAATGAAGAGAAAGGGCAAAAATTTACATAAACCCCCAAAGGAAAAACAAAGACTCAGAATTACACCAATACATGCAATTTTAAACAAAGATACAGAGAGATACAACTGTGTCTAAGTGTATCAATTCTATCTACAGATAGATAGATTATAGATAGATGATAAATAGATGATAGATATAGAGATAGATGATATATAGATACACAGATGATGTATAGACTAATTGATATATTTATTAGTAATAGACAAATGACAGATGATAAATGATAGATAAATAAATGATAGCAATGATAGCTCAATGGCAGATAGATGATACAGATACAAAGGTAATTGGTAGATTAATTACCACAGATTTGTAAAAGATGTAGTTTATGTATAAAGCCTAGAAGAGTGTCTGGCATTCAGTAAATACCCTTTTCTGTGGCTGCGATCCTATCACGCCTGTCTCTGCCATTATAAAGCTGTTTATGGATTGCACATCACTCTGATCATAACTTCTGTGGCTGAAGCTGTCTCCCACATGACTACATGATCACAGCACAAGGTCCTTCTGGGAAGTCACCTCAAGCTTTTCTTCCTCAGCTCCATCACAACTTCAGAGCACCCCTTGGTGGAATCAGCTTTGAGCCTTTGGAGCTAGTAGTCTTTTCTGGCTAGGGAGCAGAGCTGGTGGGAGAAGGACACTTTGTGGATGATGGCTTTTGATGCTGCTTACACGCTGTGATGGTTAGCTTTAATTGTCAACTTGGTACAACACAGAATGACCTTGGAAGAGAGTCTCAGTGATGGATTATCTACATTGGGTTGGCCTGTGGGCATGCCTGTGCCGGGGGTTGTCTTAACTAAGTTCATTGATATGGGATTGCCCAGTCCATTATGGGCGGCACCATTCCCTGGGCAGGGGGGTCCTGACCTGTATAAGAGAGGATGAAGCTAGCTGAGCACAAGCATGGAGGCAGCATGCATGCGTTTATTTTCTCTGTCTCTCACTGTTTGTTATAGTATAGCTAGCTGACTCAAGTTCCTGCCTTGATTTCTCAGAGATGACAGGCTGTAACTTGGAACTATGAGGCAAATAAACTTGTTTCTCCCTGAAGCTGTTTTTGGTCGGGATATGTTATCACAACAACAGAAATGAAACTAGCATGTCCACAATCCCAGGTGCTTCTTCTGCTTCACTTCAGGCCCCCGTGGCTCACAGAAACGTTGCTGCTGTGGCCTATCCCGCAGGGACTCTTCTTAGCTTTTGCAGCTCCGTGGGCTGATAATGCCTCTCGCATCCTCAGGCCGTATATTTCTTGCCTCCTACCCTGAGATGAAGTCTCCACAGCCGGAAGTGCAAGGTAACACCATGCATGATGGCTCTCAGGGAAACAGGCTTCTTCCCAGGAATAACAGGTGATTCCATGAGGCGCAAGCAACCTGCAGGCAGTGGCCAGTGTGGGCCTTCCTCCTTCCCTCTTCTATTCCTCCTATCCTCTGATCATGTTTCCTAGTACCAACTATCCCAGAAAGTCCACACAAACAAGCCCCCTTTACCCTGGGCTCTGCCACTTGTGGGACTCAGGCTAAGACAGACATCACAGGGGCCACCTAGGTACAGGTATGTAATTAGCCTCATTGTCCCCTTCCCCCACAGGTACATCCTGAGACACATTGGTTCCTGATTCAATATCAAGACCTCTTGATGGTACAGTCTCCAGAAAAAAAAAAAATAAGAGAAATGTCACAAACTTCAGCCCAGACTCACAGGGACTGTGCCCCAATCCGCCTACTGTGTCAGCCAAGCTGATATCACGGCCTCAGATGCCTGATGAGATACCTCTCGGACATATCTCCTATCACAGTGGAACTGAGCAGAGAGAGAAGCCACATCCCAGCCTGCTCCTCATTGCCCCCTCTACCACTGTGGGGCTATCCCACATTATTTACAGAGCCGCAGTGTCTACTATCATTAAATCAGAAACTATCTTAATTAAAATTTGAGTACCGTCACAAAACTCAGAAAAATTAAAGCAACTCAAGTTGTCTTCGAGAGAACCAAATCTCTACTGGAGGAGATTTTTCTAAAAGATTATAGAGCTGGTAGTGAGAACAATGATTTCATGATGTAATGTATATGTTTCTGATAAGTGCTTTTATTATGATTAAGTTTACGGTTGCCGGCAATGGGAAAATGTATATCATGAGTTGATCTATGTCTTCCAGAAAGTATCTGTTGGAGCCGTAAGCTCTTAGAACGCAACCTTATTTGGAGCTGGATCCTTATAGAAGTCAGCCAGTAACATGAGGTCACCAAGGTTAGCCTGAATCGAGCATGACCAGTGTTCTTATAAATGCAGGACTGAAGACGAAGGGAAGAAGACATGACATTTACAGGGAAAGCGTCTGGACCTGTCCTTCCCTCAGGCCCCAGGAGAAGGCCTCCCTGACACTGCCCTGATTCCAGACCGAAGCTGCAGAACAGAGACACACAACATCTGTGGATTAAACAGGTTCTCACTGAGGGACAGCACCACATAGTCACCAGGATGGGTTGATATTAAAGACAAATACACGTGGGCCCACTCTTAGACTCTTACTACGCACATTTCTTTGGTACAATGTCCCTGCTCAGAGGCTGGCAGAGATGGCTGAGACATATGCCTGGGTGTATGGTCACAGGTAGACAGAGCCAAATATCCCTCTGACACTGAGCTGACCTAGGCCACAGTGGCCTGGGGAGACCAAAGTAAAAGAGTCTTACCTTCTGGTATTCCTCTTTGGACCTCAGGGCTGCTTCCATCTGTGCAGCGGAGGTAGGGTAGACCGCCGATCGGTACTGGGTGCCGTAGTCATTGCCTTGGCGCATGCCTGAGGGTGAGAACCGGGAGAATTAGGGGGCTGCTGGGACAATAGTGCTGGCTGAAGTGGATGTGGTTGCTGTGGCTGCCTTCACCAAGTGGATGTGGTTGCTGTGGCTGCTTTCACCAAGTGCTTGTTTTAATTTTATCTTGACATCAGTTTCTTGAAATGAGCATGAACTCTATTTGTTTTAATTATAATGAAGAAAGCTGCGGAGGTGGCTTAGTGGTTACATGAGTGTCTTGCTTTCACGGAGGACCTCGATTCAGTTCCCACCACCCATGCAGGGTGGCTCACAGTCTGTGGCTTCAGCTCCAGAGGAATCCAACGTCCCTGTGGGTTCCTGTAGTCAATGTGCACACACCACTTCCCCAAGTGCACATAATTAAAAATTAAGTCTTTAATTGTAAAAAATACCTCAAACTTGGGTAAATTTATCCACTAGATACTCCATAAACAACCATTTTATACGAAAGCACCTAATGGATAACTTACTTATTTATCGCTATGACATGTACCGTGTTGGGGGAGCGCCCTCGGTGAGCCAGTTCTCCATCACTGTAGCTAGAAGGTGGAAAGCATGGTTTTGGGTCCCAATTTCAGAGTTTTCAGTCCACGGCTGTAACCCTTCAGAGCTGCACGTGTGAGAATTCATTCCTTTCCCCTTTGATTGTTTATCTCGGGTACTTTATCATAGCAAAAGAAATGAGCCTAACACCCCCACACACACACACACACACACATGGACTCAGATTTTAATTGAGTAAAATAATTCAGGCTAAGACAACAGAGCTGCGTCAGATTTGACAAGAATCTTGAATCGATAAGTGGCTTACGTCCAGTCTTACCCGTCCATCCTTGCTCTCCTGGACTTCCCTGCGTCTTTCTTCCTTAACTACCCCCACAACAGCAGGGCTCTTACTGAAGTCCCTCACTACATCCTAACCACTCTGCCACCATTTGCTCTTCCCTAGTCCTCCTCATGCTGAGCTCAGCTGCCCCTTTCCTGCCCTGAGCCCTCCAGAAGGACAGCTCCCTCATTCCCACTGAGAGTCTGCACAGTTGAATCTTTGGTCTTCACCCCTTCCAGGCTTCAGTCATGTAGTGCCACATCCCCACCAGCATGCCTGTGACAAAGCCCCCAGACCTCTTCTCAACCCCACTGTTTCTCTCTCACTGATCTCACTTTTCTCTCGATCTTTGGCATGAGCGCCACTCCTTCCGACCCTGGGGTAACCCACCTCTTACCAGCACCTCTCAACCTTCCCTTTGTTTCCTGCAGCCCGTTACCAATGCCTTCCACCCTAGGGAGATCAATACATCAGGGGGTGTGGTGTTAAACCCAGAGTAAATGGATCCACTGCAGGGTGCTGTTCCGGGGCCAGATCACAAAAGCCTCTCATTGAGGACTGTTGCCAAACATCCTTCACAGACAAGCATGTTAAACACTTGGTTCTTAACTCCTGGCACTGTTGTGGAAGGTTCTGGAAATGGTAGGGGGGCTAGCTGCAGGAAGCAGGTAACTGGGGGGAGCGGTGTTTATTACTTGAGCCCTTTGTGCCTTGTTCCATGCCATGGGTAAGCATCCTCTCTCTTATGCCCTGTCTGCACCATGGGGCTTAGAGTCAAGAGAACCAAGCAATCATGGCCTGAAGCCTCTGTAACCACAGGCTGGAAAAAAAAAAGAAAGCCTTTCCTCCTTTGTTTCAGTCAAATCTTTGGTCACAGAAATGAGAAAGTCACTGACACAGTGAGCAGACTGAGCGAGTGAGCTGGCAGAGCCTTGTCCTGTGGGTTATCTAACCACGTGGCCGTGGTGGGTCATCCCACCAAAGACCCCATCTCTGCCTCCAGGCTTCTCCACATCTCACTCCTCCTTCTCTCCCCGGGAACAAAGGCAGGGGCACACTTTTGTACTCTCCATTATTGGAGCAAAACAGGATGGAGAAAATGGGTGTGGTCTTTACTCGCTCTATTAAACATACTCATGTTCATAGATTTATGACAGACTGAGAGCTTCAACTTTTTGAGTCTCTCTTTAAGTTGTACAAGGGCCAACACGCTGACCAGCTCTTGTCCGTGTGCTATTCCTTAAGAATGCTTTCCAAAGACAAGCTAAAGCCTCCTTTAAACAGTCCATCGGGGTGAGATTAGAAATGTGCTCGGCTCCTGGGAGTTAAGTCACAGCACCCCAGGAGAGAACATCAAAATGTGCATCTTGGTTCGGCATCAGGCTTCCGTGAGCGCTTGTCTGTCAGGAGCTAATAAGCTGTCAGCTAGGGACAGTGCTAACTAGGTCACTGGGGTGGGAGCTGGGGGAAAAGCACAGCTTACTTAGGCTCTTCTCAAGATGGAGGGAAAGTGAAGAAATCGATTAATATCCTTAAAGTAAAACCTAAGTGTTTTTATGACACTATCTGACGACTGAACTGCTAAAATCCAGTGGGAGTTTTCTACACACAGGCACTTCAGCCTCTGCACTGCTCAGACCCTGAGCTAGACGAGCCTTGGTCCTTGGGCTGCCCTATGCATTCGTGGACACATGGTAGCATCCTCAGGCCCTATGCTTTGGTGTCCACCCAGTTGTGACACACAAGAATACCACCACACCTTGCTACATGTCCCCTAGGTGGCAAAACTGTCTCTGGCTGAGACCCATTCCTTTATATTAAGGGACCATGACCTCTGATGTTATTCTGAACAGGCTTCGTGTTCAAGGCAGATGAGCAGAGAGAAGTGAGATCCTCGGGAGGGCAGAGGCCAGGAGCTCCGGAAGAACTGTGGTAGTCTTCCCCGTCCATATTTGTGTTCGTATTCACTAAGTTCCATGGTCACCGCTGTGGTTTTGTTTTTGTTTCTAAGTTTAATTTCAATTTTTATTATTATGTTTACATTTTCAATACACACACTTGCATGCTGGCTTTTTCTGAATTTGTGAGAATACAAGCTTTTTTGAAAATTTGTTTTGTCGAATGGCATTTTTGAATTGAAACTATTTTTTTCATGCGCTATATTCTGATCTTGCTTTCCTCCCTCCCATATTTCTTCCCAGATCTTTCCCACCTCCCCACATATCCAACTCTATGCATTCTATCTCTCTTTCTTTTGAAAACTAAAAGGCAACTTTAAAAAAAAAAGGATAATAAAAACAAAGAAAAGGTACAAGAAGCACACACAAATACAGAGGTGCTCACACATAAAAAACAAGACCCGTAAAAGCCACAAAATCAGAAACCATGATATACAAGCAGAAGGCAAGTAAGATTTCCTTTTTAAATGCTCAAACAAAGCAAAAGAAGAACAAAACAAAAATCTACAAAAACATCATTGGGCTGGTTTTCTGTCAGGATCTGCTGCTGGGCGTGGGGCCTGCCCTTAAGTGTGGTTTGTAGACCCAGTGAGACTCCATTGTGGGAAAATAATGTTTTCTCTGCTGTCAGTTAGAGCTAAGTTTCCGGTTATGAATGGACACTCCCGTCCACTTTCTCCTCTTAGTGTTGAAACCCCATCCAGCTTGAGTCTGTGCAGGCCCTGTGCACACTGCCACAGTCTGTGTATTCATATATCTGACAGTCCACTGTGTCTGAAGACACTGCTTCCTTGGCATCATCCATCTCTCTGGCCCTTATGATCCTCCCACCTTCTTTTCCAAGTAGTTCCCTAAGCCCTGAGGGCAGGGGTTTGATGAAGATACCCATGGACTGTTCCAAAGCAGCTTTTTGTTTTGGTTTTTGGTTTTTGGTTTTTTGAGACAGCGTTTCTCTGTGTAGCGTTGGCTGTCCTAGACTCACTTTGTTGTCCAGGCTGGCCTAGAACTCACAGAGATCTGCCTGCCTCTGCCTCCCCAAGTGCTGCGATTATAGGCATGTGCCACCATGCCCAGCCCAAGGCAGCATTTTGACATTTAAAATCTAAAACGGCAGACTTGGGAACAGTAAAATTTAAAATTAGTATGTATAGAGTTTAGATATAAGGCTCTCAGCTGTATAAAGAAAATCGCAAAAGGTCTTTTTTGCTTTCTATTTAAAAATCTGGGCAGGAGAAAAGAGAAGGATTAAAGTAGCATCCTGCCTTTGCTGGTGGCCAGTGTGGCTACCACGCTGCCCAGGAATCTCTATACATCTGTCCTGTCTCACGGTGCCCATGGGAACAGCATCCATGTTACCAGGGATGAAAACAAAGATGATGGAGCAAGGTAGAATTGTGCTTCTTTTTCAGTTAAATAAGTGAAACTTCACTGGAGTCTGGAGTCAGTGGCTCCATGATCACCAGGGACTTATGTCTCTTTTCACTCAGTTATTTTTAGCATAGAGCTTCACTCTTAAGGGAAAAAAAAATCTTCTGGTCCTGTAACTGCCATGGCCAAAGCACAGACTAAAAGAGAGGGGAGGAGGAAAAGTGAATGGACAAAATCTCTCACTTCCTACATCTTTATTATTTTCATTTATTATTATTATTATTACTATTATTATTATTATTATTATTATTATTATTATTATTATTATTATATGTGTATGTATGATGTATGTGGTGGGCAGGTGCATGCACTGTGCATATGTGGGGGACAGAGGACAACTTTACGGAGTCAGTTCTCTCCTTATGTGGGTTCTGGGGACCAAACTCAGATCTCCAGGCTTTCCTTGCAAGTGCCTTCACCCACTGAGCCTCCAGCCTGCCCTGACTTCCTCCATCTTTAAGCAGCCTTCCTAGAAGACTCACTCTGCAACATTAGTTACATTTTATTGATCAGAACCTGGTCACATGGCCATACCTCCCAAACTCCCCTATGCTTGGGGCCTAGATCTCTCTGGAGACCATATCCTCACTCAATTTCTCCTTCCTTCTCTACTTCTCACTTTTCCTTACAGGTTCTCCCCTCTACTGCTCTGTCCTCCTCCAATCACAGGCCTGGATCCCTGAGCCTCAGGAGCTGCTGCATCAGGGAAACTAATTGACTCTGTGCTGGTCACCAATTCTGATCTCATTCAAACTGGTTTACAGCCTGCCTT